GCGCGAGCACCTTCGCCTCCAGATCGCCATGACCCTCTGTGACATGAGCAGCCTCCGAGCGGGACGCCGCAGCATGTTCGGCGCCCACACAGGGGCGCCGTAGAGGGCCATGGACCGCACGACCCCGGCGTATAACCTCCGGCAGGAGGCGTTTGGCCCCCCGAGGTTGGGGAGGATGCGTTTGAACGCAGCCCCCTCCTCTCCAACTTTGGAGCCAAACGTCGAAAATGCGTATAAAGTACTTTAGGCTGTAGGTAAAGGTAAAAGCGAAAAAACAAATATCAAAGAAAAGATGTTTACTAGGTTTCCTAGTTGAAATTTGAAAGATTTTTTTTCCGAAGTCTCTATTGTGGAGGCCCCTGCTTGTGGAGGCCCCAGGGCTTTCGCCCCGGTTGCCCCCCCCCCTAAATCCGGCCCTGGATCTCCTGATTGTAAGCAATTGGCCTCGCCCATGGACACCTGGAACACCAGAGGCGTTACAAGTGCGATACCGGCCTTTTGGGGATTAGGAATTTGAGGATTATTGGGATTGGGGAGATTGGGGAAAGGGCCTCCGGTACTCTCACTCACACGACGAAACATAACGCTAGCGTTGTTACAGAATCGATAAACTTGGTGAAACTGCAACTACATCTCGTAGCAACTCTCCCATTGCAGAAATCAACGCATACAGACACATACATTGAACGCTATTTGCCATGTCAACAACAACAACGATCATTTCAAAGTGTTGACGTGGATTAATTGATGGAGTATGCGACTGCAGCATTGTGAGCTCGAATTATCGATGCTTTATTGAGAGACTGCTAGATTGAGAGGCTGCTTTGATATCGAGATAGCAACCTCGATGAGGCATTTGAATCGTCTTTATGTTCATGCGCGGGGCCGATTGCTTATTGATATGCTAACAGGTGATTCGTATACCCTTTTTGTCAACTAAGCTCGAATTTAGGAAAAAAAATAAATAAGATGTATGATCTCCTGTATACTATCTTTCTGTGTGTTGTAGGTACATAAATAAGTAAGATTTTTCTCATATACGAAAAATACTTAGTTCATATATTACACGTACCAGTTAAGATCCGGGGCCGTAAATAATTCGCTGGATTTAGGAATTAGGATGAATCCTATTAGCACCAGCTGGATGGGCAACAAAATGTAATTTTGAGGCTTAGCAACAGTATTTGTTAAATATATTTTGATTATGTACCTACTTTAGTAGATATACCTTGATATAGTGTACACTGACCTATGAAGTTTATTCACCTCTAGCAAATAAGGTGACATATAGTATCATCCCATTTATTATTCCCGAAAGTGGCAGACATCTATAGAAGAACTTTTTTTTTTCAACTAAAAAGTTTGCAACCACTACGATATGAATAAGAAAATAATAAATTACCCCAAAATGCTTAAATAAAGTCACACCTTTTTATCCGTAGAGGGCTGTCCATACTTAATAGGAGGTAAGCTTAATGTCATACTCCGGACAAGATTCTATACATTAAAATAAATAATATTTATTTTCGAAAAACTGAAAAAATCCCATTAATTATACTAGCCAGACCAGAAAAACTAAGAATCTATAACTGAAGGAGATTCTTCTCTATAATGAACCATTTTACTCTTTCCTTCGTGTTATTTTCCTTCGTTTACATGCAAAGAGAGCTGTCAACGAGCTAACAGCTTACCTGAGGGCCAAGCACGAATGTCTATCGCATTCGTATCGTAACAGTATCGAGCGAGTTAAGCGTTCTGATTGGTTGGTTCACTTGAGCCGGCCAATCAGAGCGCCGAACGCGCCCGATACTATTACGTTACGATTGCGATAGTTATTCGTCCTTGGTACTCTGATGATGATACGATAGTAAGCAATCGATGCCGCCCATGGACACCCGCAGCACTAAAGGACTTACACGTGTGTTGCCGCTTTTAGGAAATTTTGGAATTGGGGATGGGAGGGTGGAAAATAATTATGTCTATAGTAGCCATATTCATAATTATAATATAGTAAAAAAGACAATCAATATATAGTAATTAAAATCATTCTAACCCAATAACTTCTAAGATATTGAACAACAATAACCCATCCATACATCGACGGATCTGAGGTCCCTAGATCCTAAACTAACATAGTTCGAGAGAAGAACCCCGTGTACCAAAGATCAAAGACCTTCAAGAGGTCAACTTAACTAAGTACTTAAGCCCTATTCAAATGTTAATTTCGGACCCTTTAGTACTAAACGTACATGAAACTACAATTACGAAAGTTTACAGGTTCAGGGTTCGACCAAAGACATATTTCAATTATGGTTTCAGATTTATAGTCTCGATTGTAAAGCTTGAGGTAGGTCTCAACAAGTCATAAAACACCTAATTTAAGTACTAAATTAGGTACTATTTAAAATTTAACCAACGACTGCCTCGTTGGCCGAGTGGTCGCAAGTGCGACTGCCGGGCAAGGATCTCGGGTTCGATTCCCGGGTTCGATTCCCGGGTCGGGCAAAGTATTACTGGGTTTTTAAAAAATTCCCAGTAGTAGCACGAGGTCTGGAATTGTGCCCGGTATATGGCAATAGGCTCACCCCCTATTACATGGGGACTCATAACATAAATAGTGAAAAGTGTACAGTGGTATAATGTGCACCCCTGCCTACCCCTTCGGGGATAAAAGGCGTGTTGTTATGTTATTTGATCATCTAGTGTGGTATTTAATCATGTAGTTTAAGTGTAGGAGAGCCATGTTTCGGCACAAATGAGCCGGCTCGACCGGACTGATACCACGGCCTCACAGAAAACCGACGTGAAGCAACGCTTGCGTTGTGTTACGTCGTGTGAGTGAGGTTACCGGAGGCCTAATTACCCTCCCCTTCCCCAATCTCCCCAATTCCTGAATCCCCAACGATCCTCAAACTCCTAATCCCCAAAAGGCCGGTAACGCACTTGTAACGCCTCTGGTGTTCCAGGTGTCCACGGGAGACGCCGCTTGCTTACCATCAGGTGATCCATCTGCTCGTTTACTGGCTTATGCCATAAAAAAATCCAACTATTCGACGAGGTTGCTCGATAAAATTCGAGGCACGCTTGGGAACCATAATCAATATTCGCGTCGCGTTCCTAACTCTCTCACAGCCAGACGCAGCAAGAGGCATAAGTAGTTTGGACCACCCTACACTGTCTCGTGGTCCATCAGACCTTCCAAAAAGACCTGAAAAAGCCTCGCAATCGCGGTATGGTAACCCCATCTTGCATTAGGGGCTTTCGGCATTGGGGGGGCTTCGCAGAATATATGACACCCAAATAGCACTTTGGACTCTTGCACCACCACTCGCAGTGTGCCAAACATGTAGTTTTCATTTCTGTCTACCCGCATGCAGACGATTAAATGATATCTAATAGGTGAATGTGTTGTAAATAAAACTCCAATATCAGTCAATTGTTTATTCTAATTACTTATTCCAAACATCTAAAACTAACGAAATAAAACAAAACATTAATATCTAGTAAGTATCACAATCAATACATAATTATGATTAAAAGTACTATTAACGCCATCTATAATACACATACAAAAACAACTTGCCCTCAACCGAACCACACGTAACCCATCACGAATGCAACGTTACCTATTTAATACCTACTCATTGTTTTTGTCACGAAAAAACAGATGTCGCTAGTAGTACAGTAGTCGAAGTGTTATCTTTATAAGCTAGAGGGCGCAGTTATCTATAATAATACTATACAATATGTTTTTGTAGCATTTTGCATCTGTGTTTGCGTGAATTTTTCGTACAATGATATTATCGCATTCTGGTAGGTGCTTCGCACTTGTTTAATTTGAAAGTCGATAGAGGGTGTTCTAACGTGCTAACGCGTACCAACGTAGGCAAAATAAGTATGACGTGTTAGCAAAAATATCAAATTATCTTTGGTTTCTGATTTAGAGGACTCTAGGATTCTCCCAACGAATATCAGAAATGCGAAAGTATTTTTTTTTTGTTTGTTGTAACTTTGCGCATTGCCCACACAGTAAATCTTCTTAAAATTTGGCATACATGTAGTTAGAAGTATGGAAAAGGACATACGACTACCTTTTACGCGAGCAAAGCCGCTAATAAAAGCTAGCATCTGTTAAAATAAAACTAGGTCCTTCATATTATATTACATAATTATTTAATCGTGTATAATTATTGAATACATCAAAAATTTTTGGTGTAGTAAGAAATTCGCTTATGCGCAATCTCCTGGCCGAGCTACCTGTATATATAGGCCAGTATATATATTCATCTTAACAAGTATTGTACATCATCAGGAATGTACCTACTAACATTAACACTACTGTTCATCTCCAATAACTTTTCTAACTCTAAATTGAATTTTACACATTAATATTTAATTAAAAATTAAATACATTAAATAAACTAAAGTTATAAAACATTAAATCAGTCATTTACAAAAAAAAAAATTTAACGTATTTTTACATCATGGCTAAGAGCAATAGACAATGATCCTAAGGTTATGATTTTTTTTCTGTGTACTAGTAACTTTGGAATGGGGTACCATTTTTACATATTTCTCTTTCTTTCATTCGAATACCCAATGTCCCAATTTACTACATCACAGATTGCACTGATTGGTGTTTGATTGCACAATGTTCTATTATTAGGTATAATTTAGAAAAACTTATGAATATCGCAAATAATTTATATTGCAAGCTGCCTTATATCTGACTAAAGAACGACTTCAATGAAAACTTAATAATTATAATTTCATTATTACGCGTTTTATTGAAATCTTATTTAATTCTTAAATTAGGTATTCTTAGATAATGGCATGTTCTAGTGTTAAACAAACTATTCATGAACGGATTGAAATTGTCTCAAAAAGCTTTTTGTTCAGTTCCTTAGAAAAAATTCGAAAGCACAACTTGTACTATCATCATCAATAATAAATTTGTTAAAAAAAACTGTAGTTGAAATTGTTGAAATCAATAAAAAAAAAAGTAAAAATCCGCGTACCATAGACATTTTAGTAACATTCATAAACGTCTACTTTTAAAAACGAAGGCGATGTGCATTTTTTATGTATTTATGGATAAGTGGCTTTTGGCATTCATGATGCTGTCGTTTTTCTTACACTTATCAATCATAAAACAAGTAACTTTCATAACAGACAATTCCTGTCTCTTCAATAGAACATAATCATTCGACTTCCCGTACAAACACAAGTCCTATCCAAGATTTATAAATACCTACACACTAAGTAGAATACTGAAATCTTCATAGAAAAATTAAAATTTACACCTTTTTGAAATGGATCACAAACATACCACAACGGTGTACAAACCCTTCATCTACCACACAAATGAATCTCTATTTACAATAATATACAATGCGAAAAATTATTTAAGAATACATCAAGTACAGAAGATGTTTTAGAACTCATATATTTGTTGCAGCTCATTAAACAAATCATATCATCAACATGCACAATCAACTATCACTTTTAAAATATATGCTACAACATTCAAAAATGAGCTAAATCAATCTCCTGTCTGCAGGAATAGAGAATACAAATTACAAAACACAATTATGTAGTTTTAGTATGAGGTAAATGCCATTTTAGCGCTTGTCTGCCAAGAGAGTAGAAAACTAAATGAACTGACATTAGGTCAGAATTCATTCAAGCCCCTTTATATTGAGTTTTCTGTTCTTATTATCTTTTGGCACACAAAACGCTAAAATGTTATTTAACCTGAAACTTATTGAAACTCTTTTTATACTTACTTCTAATGAACTCAATCCTGCAGCTACGTAACGTATCTATCCAATGTGACAACGCAAAACAAATCACGACGCGTTACAAAACATATACCCATCACACGTTCGACAAATTATAAATAACAAAAAGTATTAAAACTATATTTACACAAAATGTCATCTCTTTCATCTCTTCACGACATTATAAAAAAATCATTAAAATATTCATACAAAACATCCATTAGAGAAAACGTTGAAACCATTATTTCTTTTCAGTATTTTTTTTTGTTTCTTATACTGATTTACAAGCAATTCCACGTTCTTCATAGGCAGTGTAAAATTTTTGACAACTATAAAAATCATTATTACCTAAGTACTTCGAAATGTCAAAGAATAAAAATTAAACTTAATCCCCATCAATTTCCCAATCAATCTTGCACAATAATATCTTAATTGGATGAAATTGTGAACTTTTTGTACTTATTTCGAATAAAGTGAGTAAATTAAATACTATGTTTTACGGCATACTCACGTAATGCTCTGCTCATGGATATGAGCCTCTAGCATGGCTTGAAACTAGTCGAGTTCCTCGTCAAATAATTACGTGAGTAAGTCGAAAAACATAATAATTAATTTAGTATGTCTCACTTAAATTATAATATAAAAATGAGTAAACATTTAAAACATAGGTACTTATAAACCTGCGATTTCAAAGCACTGAGTATTTAAAAGAGCAGTCAACCCAGAGCACGGGAAATAAGAGCCATCTAGTGAACGGAACGTAAACTTCTGATTGTTTACATGTGTGTACAATCAATAAACGTTATGTTATATTGTTGTGTACAATATAGTCATTACCTACCGGTAATTAAGTTGAAATAGAATAAAAATTCAATTAATAAAGAAATAAATTCCTTAGTCATTCTATTTCATAGTCAAAATGTTAAAACCGTCAGCCATTCGGACCCTACGATACTAAAATTTAGAAGACTCTAAGTTAGGATAAGGCAAAGGATAGATGAAGGTGGGCAATTTATCTTCTCCGTTCTCTCATAGAAGTCGTCCATTACTCACGTTGTGATAAGTCACTTCAACATGGTGCACATGGCTATACATCCAGCTATGAAAACCAGTATAAACTGACCGTTAATTGTATAGAAAGGTCATTTAAAGCGATATCATAATGAAATGGTTTGTATAAGTAATTGTGTGGTGTTTTCCATGCCCCATATTTTCGTGAATAATAGACGCTCCCATCACTATCAGGCATCACATGTCACAAAACTCTGCTGTCATACCATTCTATACAAAATTCATTAGATTTTTCTTTGGTAGTCATCTTCCTTTGCGTTCTTTCACAATATCCTTTCAGCTTCCTCAGCCGTAACTACTTTCAGGCTTCGTCTAACATAAATTCATTTCTTACCTTATCAATTCTTGTCACATCCCATTCTAATCGCTTATCCTAATCAAGTTATCATTGTAAAATGTAAAATTATCATTGAGTGATTGTGATTGATGAAAATCAATTTATGAAATGAATTATGAATATAAAATAATTTATGAAATTAATTATATTGATTACAAATTTCATTATTTTAATACTCAATTAAGTTAGTAATTTATTATTTTTAAAATTATATGAGTGCACTTAAAGTTCTGGAGGTGTTGGTCCAGATTTCGATAACGTAACTTTTTTGGCACCATAGAAAATTGAATTCATTTTTTTTCTTATAATAATTTAATAGATTGTGTAGATGTAATTTGTGTTAAGTTCTTATTTTCAACGTCAAGTGGTTCCTTATTACTCTCGTCTGAGGTAATAAGAAGAATCCTTATTAAATTGTAGTCGTATACTCATACAAAACTACAGCATACTTAAGTATAGTTTCCAAATTAAAATTTTATAAGAACGTCATATGTGATTTTAGTCAAAAATTTCCGATGGCTCTTATTACCCTACTTTCCCGTAGAATTTTACAAAATATCGCTGTTAAGTTCACACTAGACAAATGATGTTAAACAACTATTGCAAATGATGCAAGCAAAGTATTTGCAACGTACATATTTATTTATGTATGTGCAATTTTATATACATTAATATTCGTAGTTCATGAACTCAACCAGGCTACACAGATTGATGATGAAATGATTTGCCCATGCTCTGAAGAGGAGAGTCGGGAGAAACGGACAGACTTTCATTTTAACCAATTTATAGCAAGGTGTTATTGCTTATTTCTATTCGTAACTGGCCGCAACGTCCCATGTCAAACCACCTTCAAAACATGGACAATTCGCCATCATGCTGCGTACAATGGAGACATCCAGAGGTAAAAGTTTTGTCAAGAGATTATGAAAAATTAACTAAAACTTTCCAATTTTCTCTGGAACCAAATAAATAGCTTCCTCACTAATTTAAAATACTTATTGCTTGAAATCGCAGTTCTTAAGCCTATAATATGTGTTTGTGTGATGTGTTTAAGACACCATTTGCCTGTGTCCATTCTGACCGTTCCCTGATGGGAACAGAACGCCTTCGTACGTCACTCCGTTCAGCTCTATCGAAACCACTAGTTGGTGGTCTCCTGTGCTGGCATCACCTGCAGGACAAACAGATTGGAATGATTAGACAAATTCTAATAGCCAAGATGATGGTGACAAAGCAGATGGATCGGATGGTGCAATTCAATGTCCTGATTTGGAAAATAACTTGATATAAGGCAAAAAGTAATTCATGATTTGGTATTAGACTTACAAGTTTGTACTACAATTTTGTACTCGTGTTTATGAAAAAGTTAAAGTTTTGACATAATAATGTTTTTATAATAACTATCGTGAGACATACTAAATAACTAAAATCGCGGGTTACTCACGTGAATATACTAAGAAAAGCTCTACTAGTTTTGAACCACAGAGAGGTTCTTCCTAATGAGCAACGTGCGTGGTTGCGGCTACTTGCTAAACTAGTAGAGCTTTTATCAGTATATTTACGTGAGTATCCTGCGATTTTTAGTTAATAATAATGTTTGCAAATCTAAGTTGAAATTTACCTCTGGTAGTGATTTTGAAGGCAGCCCCATTGACGCCATTAGTAGTGGGCACGCCGCCGCCGTTCATCTGTGGCGGCGAGACCGAGGACTGGTCGCGGCGCGCGTGGCGGTGCGCGGGCGGCGAGTGCAGGTCGGCGCGCGGCGAGGCGGGGCGCGAGGCCGGCCGCGGCGTGCGGCGCTTGGCGGGCGGCGCGGGCGACCGGCACGCCTCGCGCTTGCCCCCGCTCGTGACAGAGTTCGGGCTCTCGCTCAGGTTCAGAGCCTCGCTGTAAGCCATACTGAGGATAAATAAATTATCAGAATGTGTCAACCTGTAGGTTGACTAAGTATCTGAAAAAAGGTTCTTTTTATCAAAAATGTAGTGTTAGTGTTTTGTCTTCCAAAGGCACAGATGCGTATAACGGGGTGTTCCTCAAGGAAGCATTTTAGGACCAATTAAATAATACTAATAATAAGTGTTAAAACTAAAAGTAAAGCATTTGAATTGTGATTTTAACTCACCGTTGTGGCTCAAGGTCTGGCAGTGGGCTGCTGTTATTATTGTTGTTGCACATGGACCAGAGAGTGAGGCGGGACACATCGATGGCACTGAGGGCAGCCGCGTCACGAGGCGACATTATCGGGCCTGGACCGTTCGGAGGGGACTCTGAGCCTGTGAAATGTGAGAAGGCTAATACTATTATATAGAAGCTAATATACTGGAGATAATATCATGTAATCAATATATCAACCATGATAAAAAAGCGTACATATTCATATTTCTATGAAAAGGGTAACATTTGAATTCATTCATTCCTTTACTTTAAAATTTAATATAGTAAATAAAAAATATAATATGAACAAACTAATGATTAACGGATTTAGAACTGTATCATTAAAACCAACATACCATGACGCATGAGGTCTCTTTGCTGTTGGATCATCTTCATGTACTCGCGCACTCTGTACTCGATGTCGTGTTGTCCAAGATGCGGCGGCAGCGGCGGCAGGCGCGGGGCCACGCCGCCCAGCGACAGCGACAGCGGCTGCATGTGCTGGGACAGCTGCGCCAGGGACGCGGGCACGCGGTTTAGTGGGGGCTGGAAATGAAGAGGGGGGGTTAGGTGACTATCTGTCTAACTGAACCACTATCATGAAAGAATTTTTAATAGACTATAACATCTAGTAAGAATACTAGGAAATATATAAATCATAATTTATTTTGATGGAGAAAGAAAATCACTGTCATAAATGTTCTAGTTCAGCTTTCAATATCTGATTGATTGTCCTATTCATTTCCAACCTTCACTCTAGATAAAGTAAGATAAATAAATTAAATTATGTTGCTACCTACCTAGTCTAACAACCCATCTCTGTAAGTCCTAGTTTCAATCTTCCAATTTTCTAATTCTATAATGTTCATATCAAACTTTCTGATTCTCTTGATTTTCATTTTCTTTTTGCAAAATAATAGTTAAAATGTAGACTAGAATGTGAACTATTTCACAATTTACTCCACTTTGTATAGCTGATGGTGGATAGCTACCGCTAGTATTTTAAACCCGCCAGTATATTAAAAAATGCACCTAAAGTCTATGAGAATAACAAAGGATTTTGCTTACCATAGCCAATGCTGCCTGAGCATCGTACTGTCCTGACGCACGGCGTCCTTCCCGCTTGTTGCCTTCAATGGCTGCATCAAGCTCACTCCTAGTAGAAAGGTTCTTCTTCTCACACTCGTAGTCATACAAATATTTCATGTATCTGTAACGAAAACATATATAAATGAGTAAACGAATTAAATAGAGAATACAGAAGCAATTTCAAGTTGTTGGTACACTAGCAACGATAACAAAAATACTAGTGACAAAAATGTACTTAATCATAAAATTGTCAATCATTCTTAAGATGATAATACATCAACCGTTCATTATGAAATATACATTCGTGGAATTGTACGGAACAAGAATAGAATGAAGGACGAGCTCTATGTCGGAGCGGCATCGCCAAAGCTCATTCCGAATCCATTATCATTCAAAATAATCTTAGTATCTATCAACTCGGAAATAAATCAAAAGATGTCACCATTCAATCCTTTAGAACGAACGAATCTAATAATAACTTTATTGCCTCGTCCGCGGCTTGACAACCTTATAAATCATATTCCAACACCAATTATTATCAAAAGTATATCCTTCAAGCATAATAAACCATTACAATCCTAATCCTATTCTGTAACTTGTCAATTTTATTTGACCCCATTGTCGCGTGTACCTTCCATATGTCATATTAAGCGGTCACATATTTAATGCGTAACACAATGAGAACCGCCGTCTCATAAAAACGCCACCTCTAAAACTGTCACAAGCGATCTATATATACGACATTCGTCATTACTGTTTGTCTAATTTTACGATGTTACTATATGTAAGCTTTGGCATTAGAATACTTTTGTCTTGACAGACAATTTTAATATATGACCAATGTTATTTATAATAAAAACTGATAATCGTAGCACTGAAGACGAATTACAAATACAAGACCCGATATAAGAAAATGAATATGTAGCCAGCATCAAAGCGTACAATAGGCAGCTTTCTAGCTAGCATTACAATAAGTATTTAGGCCAAAATTCTCACATCGTTTGGAATATAATTTCAAAGTCCAAACACACTATGAAAATTAACGTAACGAGGCGCATACAGAAACAGATCGGAATAAAAGAAGCTGCGCTCAAAATCATCGGTTCGTGCGTAACCGGCGTACATTTTGAATCATAAACGTAAACCACCTTTATGACAACCGACAAAAGATGAGGTGAAGGAACTCTGCGAGAGATAAATGAGAAATTATATCGGCTGAGATGAGCTAAGGTTATTAATTATGAAGTTGTCATATTGTCGCGTCCGACGCTCACGTAGTGCCATTGTAGGCCATCTTTTGTCTCCACCTCGTGAGAATTTGAATGAGGATGTGATACAAAGCCAGTCGAATATGGAGCGAGCTCCTGACTTGTTGGACCACACAGATATCTTTTGTCAATCATGTTCTAGATCTGAAGGATAATGCATATTGATTTGATGGAGACGTGTTGCCGAAAGATTTTAATTTCAATGACAAAATGATCAAAACGTCTGTAGAACTGATCATTAGGTACCACTAATAAAAAAGAAGAAGAATAGTGACACCCGATACAGTAACAGAATTTGAATGTTGATATAGGTAACTCTAAAAATAGAAATTCAAAATTAGAAAGTCCTATCTCTAACAATGAAAGGAAACGAGCTGACGATGATGATGCAGATAACGAAGATGAAATTAATAAACTTACTGTGTGCGTAAAGTGAACGCGGCAGATGTGATGGAGGACGGCAGGCGGAGTCCCTTGATGATCTCCTGCCACAGCTTCTTGTTGATCACCTCGACCAACCCGCCACGGGCAATCACTAGGTTGTAGAGCTCGTACAGATCTAACACCGATTTGGCCATTATCGGCAGTCTGTTGATGGGTGTACCTGGAACAAAAATGGTGAAAATTAGCTTAGATTAAACATAAAAGCCATCTTGCCTATTATTTATTGGATAATTTTAGAAGATGGTACAACAACCACAATTAAAGATATAGAAGCCATTGTTAACGATAACATAGGTATGCCTATGTTAAGAATGATATGCCTATAAAAAAATGTAAAACAACAGAGGAATCCAAATAAGATGACCATAACATGCCTAATAGTACAATTACTTCCAAAACGCTAAAAACGATTACTTAAAACTCAAGGTAAATACATATATCAACGTACAACTTCCGTCAGCAATAAAATTTCTCAAAATACAACAGCAGCAATTCAAAATCAGGGATAGCAAATATATGGTAATGTAACAAAAGAGTCTTTACACAAGGATATTCATCATGATATAACTCAGAATGGTAGAGGGCAGCACATTCGCTCACTATTGCAAGTTGTAAAACCCTTTACAGCGTACTTCATAAGTGTCGTAAAAGCTAACCACGACGATATAGGAGCAGATACAGCGCTAGATTGAGCTGAAGAAATCCCTGAAGAGGACTTTGGAGAAATTAATTGTTCTAGTGCTGTTTCTGGTAGTGTATGTCAACAAGTGTTAGTTTTTCTTTGAATTTGCGGTCAGATTATAGTTAGATGCATACATGTGCATGTACAATGTAGATTTAGATAAAAAACATGTAGGTAAATAATCTAAAAAACAAAGCTTGTAACAAATTATTAGAAAAAAAAAACATTGAAATATAGTACCAACTTAGATCACATTTTACTACTCCAACAGCGTATTAAAGTTAGTGACGATAAAATGAGAAGAAAAGCTGATTACGGTGACAACCATAACTTATCGCCACCACCACCTGTGTCCCTTTGGAAACATTAATCACCGTTTTATATGACTATATTACACGCCTTAATGTGATCCCACAACACCAAAGCCTTTACATGTAAAACGTGTAAACGCTACGTGCTTTGGAAGATGAATTCAAGCCAAAGAGCGCTTGACATAACAATATTACTGCGTTTATCAAACTGTGCTTTACAGCGCTTGCTAGGATATCGTGCGTCAAGTAGGCAACAAGGCGAGCGTGCTAAATCGCATCGCATCGCACGATCGATGATTTACGGGCGCAAGCGAGTCAGATCGCGGCTTTTACGATGCGCGCGCGCAGCATTAGTGGCCCCGATTTAGCACAGCCCGTGTGGCCACGGAAGCCAGGCCCGTTTGTTGTATGTGGCTAGTTTGTGACTATTTGATTTACTGTAATTTGCCTGTTAACTTGGCCGATGACGTGACCAATCCGTACCGACCACGCTAACGCCGGGATTTACAATAAGGAACTGTTAGCCACTTAGTTACGCCAGTGAGACAGTGGAACTGTCAGCTTCTGATGTTTACATGTTTGGAACAAGAAAACAAGTGTTTATAAGCCATTACTTAGCGGGATGAAGGTGTGAGAATCATTCACGAACATGTGAGCATCAAATCTCTAACTGCTGAACATTTACCTAAGTAGAAATCCCTAATCAATTAGCATAAGTATTGAAGAACCCAGTCTCTTTATTACAAATCAACAGAACATCATCAATAACGTTTAATTCGTTCCTACGTTGAACAACAAGCGGTAAGTCATCTGAAGTTATTTCAATTGAAGTTGTTTGAGCAGCGCTTCGTGGCAATCAATCAACATTGTCTAAATGATTGTTGCAAACAATTCGTTACATCTGCAGAGTCACCTCGCGCTCGATATCGTGTTACAAGCTGTCTCTGTTCGCGCCTGCCGGCATTACGGTATGTTCCCATTTCGATACTTGTTCATTAACCCCATCTGTGCTTGAAAACCATCAACACTCGCAATTTTACTTGTAGCATATTTTCTCTATGACGTAGGTACTTAAGTTTTGATTTGTTTGTAAAGATTTTCTAATGGCATGTGTGCTTATGATGTGCCCTTGTCACTTTAAATCTAAATTAAATCAATTCAGCATAAGTTTCTGAATATAAATTCATACATAAACGATGAGAAGATTTCTGTCGACAAGCTACTGAGAACAAAGACAGTTATGTTGAGGCCCTTCCAGCACTTATAAATACAAACAGTACCAAATCAAGAAAACCCGAAGCAAGAACCACCCTTCCACGTAACAGCCTCGATCGTTTATTGATGAGAGCGAAACATTAGCGAAATACCTAAACGACTATTTGTCAATCCGTCTTCCTGTCTGCAGTTAATCATTCCCCCGGTTATCTGGGCCAGGGTGGGGGAGGGGTGAGGCGGGGTGCGCGGGCGAAGCGGCTGAAGGGGTGGCAACGTCACCCGTCCAGATTAATTGCCACGTTTGAAGAGTAAATGGAACAACATGATGTGCAGGAATTGGTATTTAGAGCTCGGTATTGTTAGATGTACCTGGTATTTTGTTATAAGATAGTGGTAATACTAACTGGTATTACAATTGGTAGTTGCAACACCATACGTAGGTAGCCTTCCCATCACTATAGAATCGGTTATTTTAAAACCGTAAGGGAAATAGTTTCATGCAACACAAAGACAGGTTGTGATGGAAACATGATGAGCAAAAACGTTGACAATAAAATAAGATTTGTTAATTGGTGTCCAATGTAAATAAGATTACAATTTCACGTATTTAAGAAAAAACTTCAAAATTAGAAAAATATGAAAGACCAATTCGAAAATGCCATAGAGGTTCTTAATTCTTACAAGACCAGTAGCCAATGACTATAGCCAATGACAGTAGGTGATAACAAAAAAAGCAAGGTAGCATAAAGAGCCATATTACTTTACAACATGTTGGTAGCCGATAGTAAAATGTAACAATAGATGACTCATAAGTCATAACTACTGAGGTAGAAAATTAGGTGCAAAATATGACTTTATGCATTGCACCACTTAAACCCAATCAACCGAAAGATTAGTCTAAAGCCTTACAAAGTTCACAAAAATTCGTTAACTTCAATCCCAAGTTTTCATGCTAAACAATAGTTATTAAGGAAAACCATTGAAAGTAGAAGCTTATAGTATAAATTGTAGTCAAAGTTAGCAACAATTAGCTAATCATTAACAGTTTTCAACATTGATATTTGCTATCGATTCCCTCGATTCGCTCTACTCTCGCCACCCACGCGCGTCACACCACGTTGACAACCTTTATTGCACCCTACTAAGTTGCTTTGAGCTCGATAGCGGCTTTTATGACCACCATTTCACCCACGCTAAAATGACCTGTGACTCCTCAATAAATATATTCACACCTTAAAGAACGCAGGTGCCAAGATACGCTGGCCACCTTTTGATAGTGCACCTCGCTTTGATGTGCAAGATAATGTGTAACTTTTCTATGGCATGACGTGTGTAATGATCGTCATAAAGTGAAACTCTAGTGTTAAGGTCGCCTAAATAAATACTAATGACATGCTGCCATCATAAATCTCCTAGTGTAGGTACTGTAGTTGTAGATTGAGAATCTAATTTGTGAACTGATCATGGATATCTTGATGGACAATGTTGTGTCGAGGAAAACAGTGCAAAAACATTCACAGAAACAAAGCTATGGATTAATTGAAAATTTTAACGGATGGAGATGATAAGCTTATGCATAAGTGAAAGGTGCATCAAGGAAAAACCCAGTAACCATTAAAGGTTTGTGTAAATGTCTGTGTAAGTAGCTAGGTAGGTAATATGTACTTCATTCTACTATTGGCAAGTTACAAAATAGTGATGAAATCTGTAAATGAGGCAGGAGAACTTATAGGTCAGTGGTTACGGTGAATTACGAGAATATCGTAAATACATAATACAAATTACCCACAATTGAACATGGTACAGATAAAGCACGATTTTCAACATCGAATGGCTTCTAAACAACATTGCATAAACGGCGGGTGCGTTATCAGGCGGAGCGGTCCCGTTATCCGTCTAAATAACACAGCGCTTACAAGAACCCGTGGACAAAAGCTATTGTTTATGAAAGCAATCACCCCAATAACGATTTCCACAAAACGCACGGGCTCGCCGGCGGCGGAAAACGCGCGATTCGATGCGCGTGCGCCGAGCCGCGCGCGCTATTTGCATACACGTACCATTTATAAAGGCCCACACAGCGTAGCGCGGCTGACGGCTCACTCAATTCGGCCGCCCGAAGCGTTATTTACGACCTATGTCAAATCGCCAGCGGAGCCAATCTAATCGTGCCCAATTGTGACAAATTATTGCTTTTCCTACGAAACCTTACGCTAAATTTGTATTATGAATTTCACTTTATGGACTAACGCACGCTTTATGGAACTGCGTACGGAATAAATCCCGAGTGTACCCGCTACAGTGTTGCCCGCGATTATTCGCACCTCGCCCGATATTTATTGGCACTCGGTGTCGCTTAGAAAGGCTAATTCTTTTGTGCTGGCAACTCACGAGTGTCGTAAATCGTCTACCCGAACGCCTCCGAGTGCTGATAAAGGATTGTAAATAACGCCCGATTAGCTGACTAATCTCTTTCAAGTGTTGCAGATTGCAACTTTGATTTGCGCACCGTTTTACAACCAGATTAAGTTGAAAATTTAATTTGGTTAAGGTGCGTTAATAAATTGTGTGGGACGTTTTATTGGTGTAAAATGGTGATTTGGTTATTAAATTAGGTAATAAAGTGGTATGATGACACAGCGGTATTAATGAGGCGACGTGGGTCATCAAAGTGTCAAGTGCGGCGCGGCGGACGTCGCGGTCGCCGACGCGCGACGACACGGCCGATAATCGATCGAATCGACATTGGACGCCTCCCGCTTATCGAGAGCAGTATCAAGGCCCTTGGAGCCCGACAACCCCGCAGCGGGCCAATGAGAGGCGGCCGCGAGCCCGGCCCGGTCGCCCATTGGTCTGATACGCTTTTGATTGCACCGCCCCACTCGATTCACGACTCGATCAATCTCAATTATTCGTGTGTTGGTACTACTCCAAGTGGCCGGGCGCAGTCGC